ACAAACCTGCAAAAAGTTTGGAAGCTCTCTTCGTTACACAGTACGCGAAAGATCGAAATCTCCAAAGCTCTCATCGAATCCAAGCTGACGTACAGTTTGAGTTGCTTGCGTCTCTCTGTTGCCGATCGTCGCCGATTGGATGGTTTCCAAAATCGCTGTTTGCGACGTATTCTCGGCATCCCACCTGCTTTCATTTCAAGGGTCTCAAATGCTGAAGTTCGACGTCAAGCCCATTGCCATGCTGCTACTGACCTGCTCCTGCATTGTCAACTCCTACTTTTTGGGAAGGCTTTCAGATCTCCGCTGGATAGCCCCATGCATTCAAACTCATTCATTCCTGGTACCTTGCAACCTGTCACAAATGCTTATGTGAGAAGAGCAGGGGGACCGAGACGTGAGTGGATCACTGATTTTAGGAACAAGGCTTTTCAATTTGTAGGCGACCACCGCGAAGTCGCCAGACTTGTACACAATTCGTTTGTCTGGCGTCATGCGGTCTGTCAGTTCTTACGTGTCCACGCGCCCGCCTGGCGTATGACTGACTGATTGGCACGCTTGAAAACAAAAACATCATGTCATGTCGTGACAAGACTATGCTTACAGGAAAGGAGGTGGATCATTTTGTTTGCAAATGGGGGCCTGCGCCTGCCCCCCCCCTCCCCCCATGCTCTTTTTACGGCCATCAATGCGTGGAGAAAAAAGCATCACGTCATCACCATGTCTGCAGTAAGGCAGGGGTACGCGGATCATTTTGTTTGCAAAGGGGCTGCGCCCCCCCAGCTTCTTTCATGCCATCCATGCTTACCTTAAAAAGCATCATGTCCTGTCATAATTATGTGTGTAGTAAGGGAGAATAATGCGAATCATTTTGTTTGCAGTCCTCATTATTGCTTTGATCCCCCACCCCACTCTAGGGTCTAAGGGCCGTGGTGGGGCTTGGGTTTGGAGTTTCAGACCCAAAAGCATTTGCAATCCGCGCTTTCGCGTCTTCTGCGTTTTCGCATCCATAGACCGCTGCGGTCAGGTTGCCCTCGAAGAGCTCTAGCGCTGCTAAACTCCGTGTACCCAGATATTGCATCGCATCCCAACTATTAGAAGCCACATCCCAACTAGAAGCCGAATCATTAGCAAGCCCGCGAGTTGCCATTTTTACGCACAATCGAGCTCTAGCTTAGAGTGTTCTCACAGCTTTGCTCGAAATCGAGCTGGTTTTTTTCCGAGGCCTCACAGGTTATTTAAAATCGAGCTCTGGCGTGAAGCGTCCTCACATTCTTGCTTGCTGGCTCAAAATCAAGCTTTGCTAGCGTGGAGCGTCCTCACATTTTCCTTCTAGAATGGTACAAACAAAAAACTCATCCAAAAGAATCACAAAACCACAAAAACTTTCGGATCCGCGTGCTAAAGTTGCTAAAGACAGCCCGGGCACCAGGAGGAAGAGGAGGAGATAGAAATCTTCAAGGGCATCGATGAGATGCGCAAGATCATGGAGAAGACGCAGGCACTGATTTTTTCAAGGGCTGCAGGCGTGCTGGACCGGGCCATGCCAGGCACTGCATCCAAGTTTCCGGATCCAGTTGTTTGGTTATTGAAGGGGGCAGACGTGAACGACTCTAGCATCAGCAACAGAGGCTAAGGACTGTTAGAGAAGGATCAGACTTTTTCTGAAAACAACGGGTTTTTGATTTGGACAGGAGTGGTGGAATCACCTCCTCAACATCAAGCACGGCCAGCCGTATGACCTCCCGCAAGACTCGCACATCAACATGGCCTGCTCTGCAAGTATTCAGCCTCCAATTGTCAAAGGGAATTCGGAGGAGTCCGCAGGCTAGAAAACGCTCACAAGTTCCCACTTTCATGTCATGCCTGCCTGCCATCCTCATTGAACAGGCACGCCCTTGTATTGCGGAGAGTTTTGGATAAGTTTGCACTGCTAGTTCAGGGCGCTGCCGGGCAGCATTAAATTTAAAGCAATGCATGTGCCGCCAGAACAGCGAGAAGCAGCCTGACAAGATCGGGGCAACCATCCAAGATGCTGGCCACTCAGAAGCGGATCGGAGGAGCATGAGCGCGAGCATAGTGCAAAATGCCAGCTACCCGTGCTAGTGTTAGAGACGTGGTTGCTTGGGGCCATTGCTTGGGCCAACTCGCATCATCGCTCGAGTCTGCAGAGCATGAGCATGGTAGCGCAGAAGTTGAGGCAAAAAAGGAACACGTTTCGCAACCGACAGTCGAAATGTATGACTTTGAGAGCACTGCAGCATGTTGGCCAAGGACTTGGAGGCTTGGTCCGGCTGCAGAATACGTGGATTTGGTGGATTTGGGCCTGACATGACAGCGAGTGGATGTTGTTTTAAGGATCTTTCATGTAGATGGGCGCCAAAAGGCTACTGATACGCGTATTGAATCAAGACCCGTTCCTGCGACCACACTAAAGCGGGTTTCCAATGCGCATTACGAATGTCGGCAGACTACATAGGGACGAAACGAAGTTACAAAGCTGTGAGAACATCAACAGAGGCTCGTGAACAAGAGAGATCACAGCACTGAATAGCAATAGCACGTCCGGCCCTCGGCAGAATGGCTGTGAGGCCCACGATCAAAGATGCCGGAAGGTCAGCTAGATTTACGCTTTTTGCTTGTCCGTTCCTTCAAGCCACGGTGCATCCTACCGCTAGAAGTCTGTGTGGAACAGATCCCTGGAATTTGGTCAGCAAAAAAACCAGGCGCCCGCCAGGTTCTTTGGCCTCCACTCCTTTGCCTCATGAGCATTTCACTGGAAAGCAGGCCATGAAGTCCTGTGAAGACATGACACCTGCCAGGTTGAACCCGAGCGCCTCCATCGTGCAGAGAGGCGGGCTTCTTCCTCCAACATTCTGTTATATTGGGGTGATGTTTGGCTTGTGTTGGGGTGATTCTGGGAACACCTGGCGCTGAGTGTTCGCTTGTTTGATGGCATCTTTGGGAATCAACGGCATGTGCTTCTTTGCAGCAATTTTGAAAGACCGCCAAGAACCAGATCCATCCCTGAGCCAGGCATTTAGACGCGCTAGTCACGGCTGCCGTGACCGAACTCAAACGGACGCAGCAGATGCCGGGGACGAGGCGTGCGCCGCTGTTGCCAACATGATCACCAACTTCAACTGCACAAAAGTCTTTTATCCAGTTGGAAGGAATGTTCGCTTCATCCTTTGCATGTTCATCGACGAGTGCCGTCTGAGAAGAGAGAAGGCCTGCAGTCTGAAGATTGCTGAAGCGATTCTGGCGACGGCTTTTGCGTTACGGGCGTGCGCACTTGCATTCTCACGAGACCTGCTGGCAGGTGCAGCGCACAATTGCAGCGCGCCAGCTGAAGGATGCTAAGGCGAAATCCAAAGAGATTGTCGCGTGCCCCGACCTTGCTTGAGTACTGTACTACATAAGGTCGGGTTGAAGGGCTGGTTTCAGTTCCACGCGGACGGGGATGGAGACTGGGAGGCGAAGAGGAAGGGGGGGGGGGCGGGGCAGCCAATAAATCGCAATAACATGGCGCCAATTATGTGACGTATCAAGCGAAATGGCAAAATGTGAAGGTACTCCGTGAAGGACTTCAGCTCGAATGCGAATGAGAGCATACGAAAAATCATCGCCGTGACCAAGGATCGGGGGCAGTGACCCAAGACTCACAGGGTTGATGTTTGTGTTCATGGTGGTGATGGTGATGATGGTGATGATGATATGGCTTCATGACTGATGGTTAGAGGTTCATCACCAGCCACAATGGAAGGCAGGCTGATGACTGACCGCAATGTCTGATTGTTTCTTGGAGGAACTTCAGCAGATGCTGGACGCGGTGAAGACAATTCAGCCTGTTGACGTGCCGAGTCAGGAACTGAAGGCGCATACCGTTAAGACAAAAAGCCAGTTCCATAAGCCACACGTAGTGCGCACATCTGCCACAGTTCCTTGCACTAAACAAAATCCTGCCATTGCTGGATCATGACAGCATTGTGAGTGGGGCTTGCCAGAATCGAATGCTCTTGTGACTGATAAGTGCCCGAAGGGGTTCCTATGAAACCCAGCTTTCAATTGCATGAAGCTCCATCAGACACAGGCGACCCTGGTGGAGTGCCTTGAGTGCAAATTGCAGCTTCACGACAACCAAGTGGAGCTCCTCAAGGCCAGGAGGAATTCGGGGATCAGTTGTTTCGGATCCAGCTGGTTAGAGTGGTGGGGCAGTTGACGGCAAGACTTCTTACGCCCATTTGTGCGGCAATGCTCCTTCGGGACTGAAGTGTAGACTTGTTGCAACAGCGGGACTCGGGACATGATCCGGTTTTGAGGAACTGGAGGCAGCCCAGGTGTTGCTGCTTTTGGCCCCGAAGCGCCAGGAATACTTGAGCACACCCGGGCCATGTTGTTGTTTCTTCCTGTGCATGCCACCCAGCCGGGCTTTTTTCGGAATTGGCGGCTCTTTGACTCTGCTCCTGGGTGCACTCCTGAAGCACTCAGACTGGCTCTACCGGTCTGACTTCGCAGCTGTTGACTATGACTACGTGCGCAATGAGTCGCTGTGCAAAGACGTCAACCTCGCTGAGATCGAGCTGCCTTGCCTTTCTTTGAGCGCGGCGACCCTTCGGGATTTCGAGCGGCAAGGCTTTGTGGTTTTGCAGCAGGCCGGGCTTGCGCTCTTGCTTGAGCTGTTTGGGCATCGCAGCGGCCTGCATGGTCCGCGATCCAAGGCCATTCCCGTCGCCGCCGTGCGACGCCTGTCGCAAGAAGTTCAATGCGCCTCGGCATTTCCCCAGTCACATCAAGAGTGTCTGACTCTCATGCCTTTGAGCGAAAACGTGCGGTCAACCAAGACATCCATGTATCCATGTATGCTGACGGAAGCAAAGCATGAGAGCACTCAAGGAACCGAACCGCAAACGACTGCCAGCTAAGTAAGATTCAGATAGCAGTCCTCTTGCAGAAACTATGTTGATTCACGTGGGAGCCTGTGCGCGGCCTTATCTAGCACGCAACATGTTGCTTTGACTCTTGTTCACAGCGCTGTACTTCTTCATGTTGTATAAGGGCCAAGCTGCATTATGCACGTGCTCTCCACGTTATTGAGTGTTGTGCATGTATTTGCAACATATGTCCAGCAATCCTCTTGACAGATCGTCATCATAGCATGGTTTCACAACTAGGAAAATTTGACTAGGAGTGAGTGAGGCATTTGTTTTGTTGCTCATGCTGTGTCTTTCGGAACTTTGGCCCTTCCCATACCGCTCGAGATGCATTCTTATAAGCGGAAGCTACCACCAGCTATGCTTAGAAGCCATTGACTTGGCAAGCGGGTCGCTTTCGCAAAAAGATCTCCATTATCGCTCTCAGGATCCAATTCTGCTTGCTTTTTGTGCTGAGGCGTCCTGCAGCCGAAGCCAGCCGCAGACCGGGAGAAATGGGCTCCTAGGCTCGTAGTTAGCTATTTGGGTGGTCCAACTTGCAGCAGGCCAACAGACCACTGGAATCACGCACACCCGCCAAAATCATGAAAGTTGGACGAGCAGGGTAGAGTTTAGTTGTGACCACCAGAGGGGTTGAGGTGTGGCGATAGCAGACGCAACCGCTGGAAGGCTCTCTCAGCCCGCAATGTTTGGATGGATTCGGAAGCCTTTGCTAGCTTTGTGCTGCATGCTGCTTGGGCTGCAACTTTGAGGCTTTGATGGAATCGTTCGTTGTAGAATCTTTAAGGCTTTAAGGCAACTACTGTATCCTGCCAAGAGAGCTTGGCTTGCAAAGGAACTATAATCAAGAAGCCCAAATGGTAGTTTCCCACAACAGGGGCCCAAAATGGTACCCCTAATTTAAGGACCGCAACCCTCTTGGCTGCCTGGCAGCGCAGCTCATCCGGGCCGCCAGCACGATCCGCTATGGCAGCGAGGCGGCCGTGGGAGGGTGAAAAGAAGCAAAGCCAAGGGCAAGATCCAGACATAAGGGGTTATATAGTGACTATGTAGGGATGGTGGAAAAGAAAATGACAACCAGTATTTTGGGTGCAGGGGTTAGGTTTTCCAAAGTTAAGGGCGCCTTCTTGGGCGTCCCTGTAAGAAGAAATATAGCATATGTGGGGCATTTTGGGAAACTACAAGATATGGATCTTGCCAAAAAACCAAGAAGGTGTAGCCCTTTCCACAAATAAATGCTGGCTGCAAACCTTTGATTTAAGAACTCCTCAAAGAGGGACCCCTAATTTTGGGAAACCCACAATCCATATAAACCACTGCATAATCCTAGTTTCTATTTCATTTTCCATGATCTTTTCCATTTCATTCTCCATTATTGGGAATAAATTCCCTACACCCTTTGTAAATCCTACACCCTAACTAGTAGTGTCCATTTTTGGTTTCCACTGTCCTTATGTATCAGTCCCTATAGAACCACTAATTTCTAAGGGACCCCTAACTTTCTGCAGGCTCCCATGTAGAAGGCGCTTCGGGTTCCAACCTTGGCCAGGCAGTGAACATGATCCGGCCCGGACAGGTGGGAGTTTAGGGTCTATGGGGATATATGTTAGGTTGGGCCCCCACCCACTAATAGTGACCACAAGAGGTAATGGTAATTATATTAGGGTCCGTACATTCCTAGTATACCACTATTAGTGGGTGGGGGCCCAACCCTAGGTCTATTGTCGTTATATAGGATAATGGAAGAGAAAATGGAAACTACTAAAAAGGGGTTATATAGGGTTTAGGGTTTGAGGTGGGGTTTCTCGAGGTAGGGTGGCCTCATATAGGGATTAATGGGCTGCACAAACATTGGTGATTAGGATTCCTAATTCAGTGGAGGGTTCTATAGGGGATTGCCTGGGGAAACCCCCAGGTTGGAGCTGAGACTTGGCACTTTGATGTGCAAAGCAGCTTGGCCAAGCAAGAGTCACTTCTGATTTTGCGTCGCACGGCAGCAGTTCATGGCGGTGCCAGCGACGTAGAGACAAAGGACGCCAGTGCAGTTGCAAGCGAGGTCTGAGGACCTGGCATTGACTGCAGAGCAACTGAGGTAACCTCCGGCTTGAGCAATCACCTCGAGGTACCAAAGCTACATGCATCCAATCCCGTTTTCACATTCCAGTGTGCAGGCATGCACACATTTGAATGGCTTGCATTGACTCTGAAAGGGTTTGGGCTATCTAGGTCTGCCAGCGGAGCCTTTGCCTGACTGATCGCATACAAATACAGAGAGATTCCTGCGACATGTTACTTGCATGGTAGTGCACTTTGCAACAACCGAAGCCGAACTGTTCCGCTAGGCCTGCCGCTGGTCCGCTTTTTCATGCCTTTGGGGTCCCAGGACCTTGTTTTCCTGAGCTGACGCAAGGTTGAACTCTGCATACCGAAGCCCTAAGTCATTATAAAGGTGGCCTGAATTTGTGGAATTCGCATCCTCAGCCTGTGTGGACAAGTCTCAGAGATGGCCTCATGAGTATCGTTAGCCACGCTTTGAGGACCTCAATGCCAGCCGCACCGGCGGATCGCTTCAGCTGCTGCCCCTGGAGGCGCTCAGCATCCACAAGTGCCTGCATTCAGGTGCTGCTTGCAGGGAAGATCTCAGAGGTCAGGTTAGATGTGAAAGTGTAAGCCACTCCGTGTGCATCTTTGTTGACAGCTTTGCGCGACTTCGCAATTGTCAGTATCCTTCCCTCGTGGTTATTGGCCTTCTTGACACATGTCATTGCTCCACAACTGGTTGTTGGTGTCAGGAGGTGAGACGCCTGCGGCGGAGCTACAGAAGCTGCAGCTTGGAATCAAGAAGCAGCGACGAAAGGAATGTTCTCCATGTTTTTTGGGATGATTTTACTTAGAGCAAGCAATGTTGAAAACGGACAGATGCCATTTGCATCCAGATAGGCTTCCCACTCCTCGTGTGATGTGAGGCTTTGTGGACCGTGAACGGCGGCTTGCAATTGGCCATGACTGCGCAGTGGCAGCAGAGGTATTGGTACAGCATTTGGAAGTCTCCGAAAGTGGTACGTTTCTTGTTTTGTTGTGCGGGCATCATTCTAAAAGAAATGCAAGGCTACCTGTTCATCATGTGGTTTCCCAAAGCCAAACGCGGTGCTGTCCGCTTGTCATTAGCCCAAGTCTGTCCTGGTTCATGCCTTCATTTCTGAGGCAAGTGCAGAGACACCAGATCTTGCGCTGGGAGACATTGTGCTGCACCTTGGTCCTTGGTATGCGATGATGAAACATAAGCCAGCTTGGTCAGCAGAAGATACTGTTGTGATTCGTGAGGTACAGCCCGATGATCCCGCACAAGACGCAGGTTGTGAAGCAAGGCCCTTCTGGCTGCTTGCTTGATTGCTTGAGAAAGAGCCAGACTTCTGAATCCATTTCTAGGCCACTTCACTTTGAGCTGTCCCATGCTTTGTGAGGTGCACGTGTGGGATACCTCGGGAGTCTCTACGATCCAGAGCTCCTCACCCGCTGGGTGCACGAGGCAAGGCCAAGTGAGGTTAATGAACGGAATTGTTGCATGCCATCATGATGCTCTCTGAAGCTCTCTTCCTGCAGGAGCCCGTGCCCTCACAGGCCGATCCCGTGAGATATCGAACCTTGCTTGCAATGGCTAGTTTTCTGTGATCCTGCACCCTGCGCTGATCGATTCTGAGACACTGAAACAGACGCTGGAACCAACTGGAACCATGCTGTGCACTTGCATCAGCAGCGCTAAAACGTGGAGGAAATCCCAAGTCCATGCGCTTTGACATGTTCTGCTTGGCCGGAGCTGCCTGTTGCGTTGGCGGCATTGGTGCAGTGTTATCTAAGCCTTACCGAAAGGGGACACCTCAGCGCGGGCCAGAAGCAAAGGTAAGGGTAGAGAGTGGAATGCATAAGGGGGATTTGATGTGTTCCTTTTATGAGCACTCCGATTTTTATGATGGTCCGTAGACGCGAACTGGCCGAAATTGAGCTTTGGACTGCTGTGCGAGAAGATATTTCTGGGCGCATGTGACGAAAAAAGAGCCTACCAACAGCGCATATCCCAGCACAACCCTGCGTGCCCGCTAGCCCCACATAGGGTACTCTCTCAACTTTTGCTAAGATCAACCCCAAAGCTATCAGAAAAGAAACGAGTTGAGCGAGATAGCAGGAGCGGTCTGGGAAGGAGTGATGGGATCCTTAAGATCAAAACGCCCCAAGCCTCCATCCTCAAAGGATCATTAGACCATTTCATATGAGGCTACGACAAGAGCAGCCGAGAGTGCCACCACAACCTGAACTGGCAGAGTGCTGATACACAAGGTGCTGCTGCACCTTGTAACATTGTAGCAGATTGTAGTCGCTTCCCGCTGCAATGACAGGCTAGATGGGCTAGGGCCACTGGGGCCTGCAGTGTCAGACAGCCAGAAAGCTGCTGGTAGTTTGACTGCCGCCGTTGCTGACAGGAATCAGTGAGGGCCCGACGCCCTGTTTCCCGCAGATCTTCCCCCGGCACCTGGGTGACGAGGCCGGTTTGATTCGCTGCAGCGCTTTGGCGCCCTCCTCTAAAGCAACTGCCTCGCGCCAATGTGACAGGTTGCGACGAGAGCCGCCAAGAAGCCTGGATGCAAGCAAATGTAAGAACCAGATTAAACACAAGTAGGAGTTGCTTAGAATAGAGGGGAAGCATGCCAGTAGATGCGCTCTGAGGCAGCTGATCAACCCCTTCGGCCCACGCACAGTCACATCTCGCTGGCTGCTGCATTCTCTGCCGTGGGTCAAAGCCCTTCTTTCCCCGCTCTACCTGGCCTTGGACTACTGGCATGGTTGACGGCGTTTCAAGAAAGGGTTGGAACTTGGACGCAGATGCTGTGAGAGCCTTCTCACTGCCACTGTTGGGTGAGGAGCGCTGCGCAGTAGACTTGCCTGCCACGGGCTACAGCAGGCAGACGACGTGACTGCTCGCGGCGTGCCGGGCACGCGCCAGAAGGTGTCAGCGTGGAGCACTTGAAGTTGATTGTGGAGTTCCTCGCCAACAGAGATCTCGGGCTGAGCATGAAGGCGGTGCTTATGAATTGCCTCCCTGCAGCCTGCCGGCTTCTGGGAACCAGACGGTCACCATGCCTGAATTGCCCTCACGATGGCCACGATGGCTGCACTCGTGTGTGTGCTTCCACCACGTTCAATGGGTTCCAAGCGGAATTCCAGTGAGAGAAGACACTGCAGCTGCAAAGATGCTGTTGGGTGTCCTAGAACTTGACGTCCTAGTGTTCTCAGCTTTGCAGCTGCAAAAGCATCACCAGTCGACCGACTTGTTTGCAACCTTTTGGCACCACACTAAGGCAGCCAACAAACTTGCGAGCTACAAGCTTTTGCTTCCTTCCAGGCTACAGAGGGAAAGCTGTGTGATCCGATGCTGCCGGCGCTGCGGATTATCAAGGCGAATTGACATGTCACTGGTGCCGGGGCATGCAATGCAGCATGTTTAAGCTACACGTTCCACTTGCATGTGTTCGCAGGATCGCTGGGATTCCCTAAAGCACTTTTCGCTCTATGCACTGTACCTGGAGTGCCACTTGGAGTGCAGTTCAGCTACGCGGACGTTGAGGGTTTGGGATGTCGGCAGGTTGCCTACAGCAGGACTGTACGGAAGGGTCTACCAAGGCTTCGTTCGCGGAAAGATGCTGGACGGGTTGACCTCCTTGCTCCCTTTCTCTTTGCCCCAGTAGGTGTTGCAGCTTGATAGAACTCTGTTCTCCTACAAAGTTACAGCCCAGCATGAAAGAACTGTTCCAGAGCGAGTAAGAAACAAGAAGCCTTGCCTTAAGTTAATGTATATCCGCTTCAGTTGTAGAGGTGAGCAAAAGCAGCTGGACTTTGGTCGGGGCCTCAGAATGCTAGAAGCAAGCCCATCATGCCCATCATCAGCAAGATGGCAGGGCCTCCGCCAAGTTAGCTTGATTGTGTTTCATGTGTCGCTGCAATCTATAGGAGGACAATACATGTCTCTTTCTGTGCAGCTTCCATAGCATCTCAGCTGCAGCACAAGAAGCTGTTACTGCGATCAACTGTTCATGGAGGCAGCAGTGATGATGAGCATTTAGCATACCTTGTTCGTGCATCGAACGTTCGGGGCTGAGCTTGCGCAAGATGATTTCCTTTGCCTGGTCTCGTACCCCTACCACCCCCATGCCTGCATACATGCTTTCAGCATGTACGAGGCGGCCAGGCATGCGAAAGAGGGTTTGGTGGCTTCTAGGCAAAGCCGCCGTAAAAGAAGAGTTCAGAAACTTGTGCGGTTCCTGAGAAGCAAAGACCCTGGTGCACCACAAGGCTCAGATAGATCAAATCCTCCAGATTGACAAGGACATAGATTGCGATTGGTTTTCATGGCATGCGGATGTCATGTCGTGAGATGTGGGCCGTCAGCTTCCTGCGGGAGAATCATCAGCTTCAGCCCTGAACTCAATCCATTTTTGTGGTTTGCCACGCGATGGGAGGACCGCATCATCTCCCACGATTCGATGGTGCCTGGGCTTTGCCACACACCTAAAGAGAAGGGAAGAGCTGGTCTATGCTCACTGCTGAGTAGTAGTAAATCAGACTGGAACTTGTCAGAGCTTTTGCCAAGCCTATCCCGTTGCAAGTTGCTCAGGAAGCGGGACATGGCTTCCCCAGCCGTTGACACCGGAGCTGAAATCCCTGAAGGTTCAAGCAACAAGAGCTGACATGATCAATTCAAGCATTACATGTGCTCCTAAAGGAGAGGAGCACGGCATGGCAGATTGTTGCTGAGTCAATGGCATTCGCGTACGTGGAAAAAACGCATTTCTCACCCGGGAAGCTGTGACAACAAACACCATTTCAGCATCCAGACGAGCAGGAAACAAACACTATGCCAACCCCCCATCCATACTTACAGTATACATGTATTTGCACTGCACTTGCCAATCAAAGAAAGGATGATTTGAGGCTTCAAGCGGCCATGTGAATTGCCAGAGCCCTTTCGCTCCTGCCTAGCGGCTGCTGCATCCTGCCACTTGAGAAGTGGTTCCTGGAGGGAGCGTGTGTACATTAGTGCCTGTCACCTGTCATAATGCTCATGCGCCCCAAAGTTGCTGCCCTGAATTGCTCTATTTGCCGTAGACATGATGGTATTTGTATTGTTAATGGGCGCAGAGTGCAATGCAGAGTCTGGTGTTGTATTGTAGCCTTGGGATGACGCATCAGCATTTGGTGAATCATGTGCTCTTTGCAAGCAATTTTGCACAAGCACCTTTGCATTTGCTGACGGCGGACGCCACATGAGTCGCTTCTTCCCACTCAGCGGCAGCAACTCTACAACGCCAGAGGAGCTACTTGTGCTTTGCTTGAAAGAGCCATTCTGAGGCATCATGGCGCGCATGATCCAAGTCAAGGGTGACCACCCGCAAGGCTCCGCAGCCTTATTCAAACATTCATGCAGAGAAGGTGCTTGGGATTCAGGATTACAGTTTGGAGAGGGCTTTCGGCGCTTCTGGCTTGCTGCCGAGCATTTTCAGCGGCCAACAAGACGCTGTGAAGAGAGCTATTTCAGGATGTTGGGCAGCCAGGCATTCAGCCATCATGACAGTGTTGCACACTTACGTGCTTCAGGCTGTAGAGTAAGAAATGCAATGTTGTGATGCGTGGCTTCTTATATAGGAAGTGACACTGGGCACAAAGCCAAGCTAGGTTTGACATCAAGCGTCGAATCCGAGGTTTGGCGCTATGCACGCGGATATGGCTCATGCGAGGGGCTCAGAGCTAGAGAGCTTGAGGGATTTGAGAGAGCTTTGGTCGTAGAAGGCTTCCGGCGTGTTTCGCCGCTACCCACAGCCGCTGCCCCCCGTACTGTAGCAAAAGTTCATGGCGCGAGATGTGTGCAACGCAAAGGGTAGCGATGCTGCCTGCTTGGCTAGGTACCAGAAGCTCTTAGTGGAGCCCAGCCTGTCGGGCCACGGATAGTTGCATTTGCTGCACATTTGCTGCAGGCAGTCCATGGAGAAAGAATTTGGCAAAGTCGCGCACTGTAAAAAGCCACCAACAACAGGCCCAGCACTCAGCCGCTTTGATTGCGATGCGCTCAGTGTAGACATTTGGAGTTCCAGTACGTGAGGATTGCAGTCATGATTCCAATTTTGGGCCATATGAAGTGTTTTGGATTCCCACTGCAGAAGACGTGAGGCAGCGCAACAGCCAGCTGCTGTCAAACTGCATTTGAGGGTAGTCATCATTGTGCGCATGTTGGGAGAATTGTCAGGCGACCCGGAAACGGACGTTGCTTTTGTCCAGTTTCAGAATCAGGAGGCTTGGGAGGGAAGCTACCTAGCTTGCAGTGACGCGTTGCCGGCCTAGATCATCTTTGTTGAATATACAGTTCACAAGCTAGCAGCTAGTCCATATGTTACTATGTCTTGCGCATCTCTCCCCATACCACAAAGCTCTTGCCCTAACACCACAGATGCCCGCTACAGTAGCTAAGAAAGACCTAGATCTACATATCTCTGGGATTATACATGGCATGGTGTTATTAAGACCCTTGAGCCACATGGTTGCACAGCCCCGTCCACATTCATGTTGTATCAAGTGATTGCAAAAATCTTGTACGACATCGAAGGCTTTGTGGCAATACTGCTCCTCTTACTAAGGGCTAGTCGGGAGTACGGGAAGGTATTATCTAGGGTTTATATAGGGATCATATTCCCTGCTAGGCACCGGTAAGTCCTCGTCTCCAGGATGCAGACCGGGCAGTGGCAGCTCTGCGGGGCGGCCTCATGCTGAGCACTACCTGGTAGCTTGGCAATCAGACAAAGCAGCACCGCAACACCCTTGCCATTTCCTCATGATGGCAACTTGATTTAGGTTCCTTAACAGCAACCCAGAGGTTGCAGAGCCCCACCATGGCAGTAAATTGCAGGCAGCTGATTCTTTGCAACATTGTCCGTACGGTCTGGATCTAACGCGTGCTGCCGCAGCCGTAGCGTGTCTGTCCCTACAGGTGTTGGCGCCGCAACAAAGAGGGGTGGATGCAGACATTGTCATGCAGAGCCGTCAGCGTTTCCTGTTTCGGCCACTCCTTGAGACCTTTGTGACATTCAGGCAAGGCATCACCCTGAACATCAAAGGCGCCACGCTGCTGCAAGCATTTGTTGATTGCTGCAGTTAAGTGGCATTTGTGTATAGAGCATGTCCTGAATCAAATGTAGCCGCGCAGCACCACAGCAGCTAGATGTTTTCCGGGGGCCTGAGTACAAGGAGCTGTGTCCCATAGCAGAGCCCATGCCCCGACAAAGGAGCCCTGACATTTGTATCCTGGATCGACCACACCGTTGTCCTGAGTTACGAGCAACACCACAAGAGCTGCATTCAACATGCTTACAAAAGGAGGCATCAACACAACAAAGCCGCACAATTGCCTTCCAGAATGATGATAGGAGCGCGAAGAGATAGAATTGAGAGACAGGAGCATTGACAGTTTTTTAGCCTTATAAGGCCAGCACCACGAGGCGCGATTCGCGATTCTAATCACGTGGCCCGGGCTATGATCATGTAAGAGCCTCCCTGCGCTCTGAACTGTACAAGTAGCTCCTCAGCCCCGGACCTTAGCGCGGTGTAGTCACCAGTGTACTCAAAATGAGTCTGAGGATTGGAAGCCCGGAGAGGGGGGCCGCGGCGGAAGCAAGCCCAGCTCCTTGGCCACAACTGCTGGACGACTTTTCGGGAGAGCGAGAGGCATTGTTTCCAGGTGCGTTGGTGATTTCATTCTGTTCAGGGCTGCCAGCTTCTTGCCGAGATTACAGCAACACTCGTATGGAGCTTCCAATTCCTCAAGCCTGCCCTGGAACTGAGGCTCTAGCTTTGTGAAGTGGCAGCCAGAGACCGTGGATGAGCCTCAACCGTGATTGGAAGCCTTGCGTGAGGGGTAGTTGAGTGTTCAAGCTCCCCTACCCAAGGATTCGCGCAGTTTTCTGACCAACAACCGCCCTGCACGGAGCCGCAGTGGTCGAAAAGATGATAGGCCACCGGGGGGTTGGGTTGAATTGATATGGTATAATCCGCTTGGGATGGCTTTGGTCCAGCAGCATATTTGCACTGCTTGTCTCGCACGCGTGAGGCGAAGTGATAGACGGGACGATAGACGTGATGAGCGTCGTGATGAGAGAAGAGATGACCGGCGGGGCGACCGCCGTGATGACAGAAGAGACGACAGGAGCTATCGTGATGATAGACGGGATGACCGTGATCGTCGGGATGATCGCGATCGTCGAGACCACCGGGATCGACGGGACGACCGCGATCGCAGGGACGACCGCGATCGCCGAGACGACCGCGATCGCCGGGATGACCGTGATCGATATGATGATCGTAACCGTCGGGATGATCGTGATCGTCGCAGATCATCCAGGAGCCGTGACAATGACTACAGAGATGAGAGACGCCATTCCGATCGTGGCTCCAGGCGAGATGACCGGTATGATGATCGCAGGCGACGTGATGATCGCAGCGATTCCAGAAGAAGAGACAGCAGTCGTTCCCCAAGTCGGCGTGACCGAAGGTACGATGATCGGAAAGATACTGATGGTGATGATGGCAGACATGACAGGTCTGGTGATCCGAGGGAGGCTAGAAAGGATGCCACAGAGGATCGTGGAGACAAGAAAGCAAGAGATGGTAAAGGACGCGACCGGGAAGGGGAAGCTCGCGATGGCAGGCAGGATATTTCAAATCGGTTGCTGTAGAGATTCTCAGGCATTTTGAACCATCACGTTGGGAAGTGAATTCAAAAAAAACGTGTAAGTACAACATGTTTTGGCATG